CTTTTTGGAGATACTCTTTAGCCTTGTCGTATTGGCCAAGCAACTTAAACACAGTACCTAGGTTTCTGTAGCCAGTTGCCTCCCCTTTTCTGTCGCCAATTTCAGTTCTGATGACAAGTGCTTTTTGAAGATACTCTTCAGCCTTGTGGTATTGGCCAAGCGACTTAAACACAGCACCTAGGTTGCCGTAGTCAGTTGCCTCCCCTTTTCTGTCGCCAATTTCAGTTCTGATGACAAGCGCTTTTTGGAGATACTCTTCAGCCTTGTCGTATTGGCCAATGGACAGAAACACATTACCTAGGTTTCCATAACATGATGCTTCCCCTCCTCTGTCGCCAATTTCAGTTGTGATGACAAGCGCTTTTTGGAGATACTCTTTAGCCTTGTCGTAATGGCCAACGGACAGAAACACAGCACCTAGGTTTCCATAACATGATGCTTCCCCTCCTCTGTCGCCAATTTTAGTTCTGATGACAAGTGCTTTTTGGAGATACTCTTCAGCCTTGTCGTATTGGCCAAGCAACTTAAACACAGCACCTAGGTTTCCGTAGTCAGTTGCCTCCCCTTTTCTGTCGCCAATTTCAGTTCTGGCGACAAGCGCTTTTTGGAGAAATTCTTTAGCCTTGTCGTATTGGCCAACGGACAGAAACACAGTACCAAGGTTTCCATAACATGATGCTTCTCCTTCTCTGTCGCCAATTTCCGTTCTGATGACAAGCGCTTTTTGGAGATACTCTTCAGCCTTGTCGTATTGGCCAAGCGACTTAAACACAGTACCTAGGTTTCTGTAGCCAGTTGCCTCCCCTTCTCTGTCGCCAATTTCAGTTCTGATGACAAGTGCTCTTTGAAGATACTCTTCAGCCTTGTCGTATTGGCCAAGCGACTTAAACACAGTACCTAGGTTGCCGTAGTCAGCTGCCTCCCCTTTTCTGTCGCCAATTTCAGTTCTGATGACAAGCGCTTTTTGGAGATACTCTTCAGCCTTGTCGTATTGGCCAAGCGACCCAAACACAGTACCTAGGTTTCCATAACATGATGCTTCTCCGCTTCTGTCGCCAATTTTGGTTGTTATGGCAAGGGCCCTCTCAACATATTCCTTTGCTTTTAGGCTTTCGCCAAGTTTATAAAGCATAATTGTAGACTCGCTGTATAAGTCAAACAGTCTCCTCCCGTATCTTTCCGCACTTATGTAGTCAGAGATATGACAATAAGCGCTGAAAAGAATGTTATAGATGTCGCTGTAAAATTGTAGCAGTGCTGAATCAAATTGATCTTTGCTGTTTTGATCGGTGCCATTTAGCAAAATCAAACATTCGCTGCATATCTCAATGGCTTTCTGAATGCGATCTGAGTTGAGCAAGAACAGGGCAACAAGTAAGGCGATGTTGATGAAAGGTGTCATGGCTTCTGCTATTAGGTTTCCATTGCAATCCTCTCCTGTTATCAGGGAAACATTATTTTTAGTGACACAGTACTAAATGGTCGATAATCTGGATTAATAACGAGTCACTTCAAACAGGAACACACATGTTAAGTTACAAAAACGGTCTGGGTCGATTACACCCGGAAACTATTTGTAACAAGCTGAAAGTGTTAGAATTCCCAATATCCACTTAAAAACAAAAAAAAGAAAAGGTGAAGAAGTCGATTGGTCACCTTTCATTTCACTCAAGTTGTGATTTTTGCAGAACATTACATGACTTTAAAGTCATTGGACAAAGATAAAAAAAACTGACAGACTTTATCTTAACTTTTGCAATGAGAACTTTCCACATGCATAGTTTCTATAAACAACATTTATTACACCCTGTATAAAACGTATACAACAGAACAACTTCGAATAAAGACTGTATTCCAGAATAACAATATACAAGACAGCTTTCACGCATTCCTTTTCATTTTCCCTTTTTTGAGTTTTTATCAAGAGTTCAAAGTTCAATTCGTGGGGGGTAAGAAACATACAAAAATCCACGTGACACTCTCGGTCCAGTTTTCAACACACCCATTTTGAAATCACTGGTGGTCCCTGTAATCTGATTGGCTCTAATTGATGCGATTTTTTCACGAATCGCACCATTTTTTGCTTTAAATCGCATCTTTTTCCCAGCCAATGAGAAGGCTACACTAAAAACATAACAACCAATCAGATTTTAAGGCTTTTAAAGTAACCGATAAAATTGCAGGAAAATGAAAGACAAGGAGTATCATGTGGCAAATTTTGCAACTTTTTTTTCTTAACTCTTACATTCCCCCCCAAAAAAATGGACATGAATTTAATTTCAGACCGGCTCAGTACTGCATCAACAAAATATTTGAACTGACCATGTCCTGCATTTGGGCGATTTCAAAATGGATGTAATAAAGTCGTAATTGAACCTCATGTCGTGCAATTTTGGTCTGAAATCATACTTGTGATTTCAAATCGAACTCGCGCTGCGCGCTTGTTCGATTTTGAAATCAGACGTATGATTTCAGCCCAAATTGCACTCCACTCAGTGCAATTACCATTATTAACCAACGGGGTAAGGTTTTGAAGAAACTTTGGTGGGGTATTAAAAAACTATTTGGCTTTACCAACTGAGTTGACAATGTAAATTGGCCATCGTAATTAATTTCAGCCGTCGTTTACTTCCGTTTGAAAAATGTCATTAACCAAGTTCACTATGTATTTGTCATGGAAAAAGCAAGTCCCATACATGAAATTTCAATTCCAATATTGGAACTGACAGTCAGTGTTATCTGCGTAAGGCTCTCCAGAATTATTCGAGAAGAATTGGCAATGACAGCAGACCAAGTTTACTACTGAACTGACTCAACTTCTGTGTTGAAGTGCATCAACTTTGTTAACTCGCAGGTAAGCGAACCGTAGAAACTAGACTTAACTCACTGGATCACTGTCGTAAATAGTAGCGGAGCTCGCAGAGCGTAGCCCCATAATTATGCAAAATAGTAGTAGCCCATCAATAATCTATATATTATACCATCAATAATCTATATATTATATCATCAATAATCTATATATTATGCCATCAATAACCTATATATTATACTTTGACCTCGGTTTTTTGCTTCCTTGATCTCGTCACGTGATGTAAAAGAAACATTTTGCCCTTAGGTTGAATCATATTCCTACCGATTTCTGTCTTTCATCTTTTTTTGAGTGAACGTTAAAAGCCAAAAATTTATTATGTACATCCTCTATGTTGGAGCAGTCTGAAGATTAGTGAAAAGTCTTACAAACTTCAAAGAGAACTTAAAGATTATCCGCAAATGGGCTTAAAGGAATGACAATGGAATTAATTGTAGTTTTACAGTTACAATTGGAATATAATAAATCAATGTTAAGAAAGCTCATACAGGTTATAAACAAATGGATACCAAATGAGAATGGCTTAAAAAAATTAATTTCTAAGAGTTTTTGTTGTAATATTCAGTTTTTTCTATCTATGTTCACATTTTACTTAAGTGATAGACAGTTGTGC